TGAAAATAAGCCAGTCAGAGAAAGATAAATAGCACATGATATCACTCATTTATGGAATATAATGAACAACATAAACTGATGAACAAAAACAGATCCAGAGACAGAAAAGCATCGATCAGACTGTTAAACCTCAGAGGGAAGGTAGAGAAGTGTGGGACTATGGGGGAGAGATCAACCAAAGGACTTGTATGCATGCATATAAGCCTAACCAATGGACACAGACACCAGGGGGTGAGGACATGAGTAGGGGGATAGGGGCATGGGGTGATACGGACACATATGTAATACCTAAATTAATAAAGAAAAAAATTAGAAAATTATTAATATTCAAAAATACTTAGTATAGTATTTAATAGAGACTGTATGTCCCTAAGTATTATTAACTCTCTTGCTATTTCTCTTTAATATCCTTTTAACCCACATGTTTATTATAAAGACGTCAAATTTTTATCAGTGTTGCCATTGAATATAGACCTGATATTTTTAAGCAAGTATAAACTAGATATAACCACCGTAAATAAAATTGTGAAATTACTAAATTTTTACTCCTAGTAATGATGATTGATGTGGCAAAAGCATTTTAAATTTTAATTATCATTGAATTTGCTGCTGGAAAGTCTCAATCTTTTGTTATGTAAGTTAACAAAAATTTACATATTATTGGATGTGAAACAAATATAAGACTATGACACTATTTTGACCAGTTTTTTTATTCTAAATAAAATAGCATTCAATTTGAATTAAGTGCCAACAATGTTTACTAGTATATTGATTTAAGGTAACATAAAAAGATGGTAATTCATAACAAATATTGTTTGAATTGTCTCCAAAATTATGGACTTTTTAAAATTGAAGTTAAAATAAGAATAGCTAAAATTAGGAAAAAATATCCATATGAATAACACAGTGAAGTAAATTCTTTATAACTTAATTCATCACAGTGGAATTGTAAGCTTACTGCCAAATCTTTGCCTAATTGATCTGTATTCATTGAGGAGAGTGTTTTCTTTAGCTGGTTGACTAGCTTGATTAAAGAGGACAAATTATTGCGGTGGTGATTAGTTATTTACCCTATCTTTAACTTGTATTTATCCTGTGAATAAGCTAAGAATGTCACATTAAAAACATGAGCTATTGCTTTCAAACACCAAAATAATAAAATAGTTTTTAAAAGTTAAAATATATAAAATGTAAAAAGAGATATAATGAAATTATCTTGAGAAAATGGTAGTTGAGAAATTAATTTCTCCAACCATATTTTCAATTACCCTGAAATAAAGACAGAAAATAAAAGATGAAGGAGGGAAAAAGGAAGAAAGAAAAAAAAGGGAGAGCAAAGAAAGAGATGGTGCATTGCATTTATCTGGGTAGTAGTAACTTTGATAATATGGTGATGACATTAATATTTGTTACTAATGAGCACACTGATATCCCTTCCATCCAACACACACACACACACACACACACACACACACACACACACAGCTTTCTTTAAGCATTGGGGTAATAAGGTCACATATTTAATACCTTAATCAATAAAGAAAAATTAAGATATGAATAAACTGAGCTCAGAAAAGTTAAAAATATATTGGGATTAACCAAATAACATATATTCATATATCATAATTCATGGACACAGACAGTTGTGCCCTGAAAGCATGGGGAGGGTGTGGGTGCAACATGGACACGGTCAATGGGGGAAAAGCAGAACATCTGTAACACTTTCAACAATAAAGATATATATTTTAAGAATAGATGTTCAAAGTCACTAATCTAGGTAGTGGCAAAACTAGGTTCATACTCAGATCTGTGTTACTCCAGAGACCATGATTTTAACTGTGCAGTGCAGGCTTGGTAGTAATCATTTACTCAAGAAAAAACAAACACCTAGGTTTTTAAACTTCAAACTCTGCTATCACATATTTATTGTGTCAATTGCATTGACCTTTCTGACCTTTGCTTAAAGGTACAATGAAATTGAATAATAAGCAAAAATACTTGGAAAGAAGTACCTGGCTGATTAAATATTCTATGTATATCTAAGAAGAATGTATAGAGCCAATTTGAAGAGCTTCCAAGAAAGGATAGCCATTAAAATGAGTAAGTGGAGCTCTGGATTTTACAAAAGGAACCAGAGATGCTATAATATTAAAATATTTCAAATATAAATTACCTTCTTGTAATCAGGCCAAAGAATAGCTAGAGTTTTGGATTCTTTTAATATGCTCCTTAGTGTTAATGGGGTGAACTTCTACTATAATTTAGCATCCAGGAAATAGTTTATTTGAAACCAACTACTTTAAAATCTATGACTTCTTAGTTTTGAAAATAAGTTTCTGCAAATTATTATTCATTATTATCATCAAATCATTACACTTTATTTATATTTATTAAATAAAAAGTTATTTGTGTAGTTACTAAAGCACCATTGTAAATGGTGGGGTAATGTTGGTCTGAGGATTAGAAGGTTGTTTGTTTGTTTTTATACAGTGTACTAGAGGCCTAATGCATGAAATTCATACATGCGGGGTGGGGAGATGATGGGGAGGTGTCCCTCAGCTTGGCCTGTGCCCTCTCGCAATCCAGGTAGGGTCCCTAGGCCTGGATGGCAACAAGGCCTATTCTGTGGGCAACCAGCAGTGTTATCGGGGGACCCCCACTGGCACCTGCCTTGGCCAGCCTAGTGCTGCCTGCTTGCCAGCCCTACCACCTGCTGCTGCCACCAACCCCCACCCCACCACCACCAGTCGCCTCCCTATGTGGGCAACAGATGTGGGGTTCCGTCGCTTGGCTGGCCTGGACCTCCTTCCATGGGGCAATCATTGGCCAGCCCTGCACACCAACCACAGCATAGCAGTCCGGTGGCCTGGGCCTCCTTCTGTGTGTCCCTCGTAGCAGGCCCCAGATCGATCACCGAACAGAGGGAGGCTCCACGCACCAGCTGCAGTGCCGCTGGCCAGGTAGCCTGGGTCTCCCTCTTCCTAGCGATCGATCACAGGGCTCTGTGATCAATAGCCCCGCAGAGGGAGGCCCCGCCCACCCCACCTGTGATTGATTGCTGCACAGAGGGTGGTCTGGGCCTCCCTCTCTGGGGCAATTGTGGGGTGATGGTAGGGCCCCCCGAACAATCACATGGTACCCGCCTTGACTGGCCTGGCACCAGTGCATGTCATAGCGTGGCCGTCCAGAAGGTCATTTGGACAGTTGTTCTGCTGTTTGGTTGTTCAGTCGATTTGCATATTACACTTTTATTATTATAGATTTTCACTTATTTCAAAGAGGAAGGGAGAGGGAGAGAGAGAGAGAAACATCAGTGATGAGAGAGAATCACCGATTGGCTGTTTCTAGCAACCCCCCACTGGGCA